GCAAGAAAGATGTATGTATAGATAGAATGAAGTGTACCAGTAGTCTATTTATCAAAAATAATGAAGTTTTGTAAACTGTAAAAGGAAATACTTCAATTTTTTTGTTCGAGGGCCAGATTTGCGCCGCTATTGGCTTGCCAATGGTCTACAGCCATGCAATCTCCGAACCCATCAGGGATCAGTCTGACGATGATTTAGCCTCTAGGGCACAACAGTCAATATTTCTGGAGTTGTGGTTTGACCAGCGGATATCCGAATACAACACATTCTCACTCCGACATCTTCACATATCGACGTTTGGTCATGGACTTTCCACATATGCCGTACAAGGTACCCTGGGTACGGCTGTTGACGTTCTGGGACACTGTGTCAAGTTCTGCCTGTTACATGCATCGTCTTCTTTCAAAATACACTTCTGTTTTCACAGGAAATGTAACTTTCGTTCTTGTCCCGCCGCGTTTCCCCCTGATGCTGCCAGACGCCATTAAACTATAATGGCAACCGGCCACGTATCATGCTGACATTAAAGGATGCTTTGTTTCGTTGGTTTCTGATGCTGCAAGTCACTGCCCAAGTGCCGGATTTCGACGATTTCAAAGTGTGACCGGACTCCTGATTAACTTCTGTGTGCTGGTCATCTTTTACAATCCGATTAGAAACTTTAAAAGTGAGAATGGAGTTGGATTTGAGAGCAGCCCGTTCTCACTCCTAGGGCGGCAAATACTTTGTCACACCCATTAGCATGTGACAGAGACAGCAAAGGCACCCTTTAGTGTCTATATGAGATGCATTAGGCTTTAAGCTAACTCCAAATTGAACCCATCCACTACAATGCGTGACACTGAGAGAAACTGATGTAGTATACAGACTGAGAAAGTCCTTGGAGGGAGGTATGGTGGATGGGTCTAACAAAACTTCTTCATCTAGGAGACCACAGTACGTGTCCCATGTGAAACCAAAAGCTAACATTTACGTGAAACATTTACATCACGTTATGCTATTTTTATGTACCAAACACCTATTTTCAACCAAAACATGATCTTTTTTCGAAACATAACCAACTAATTTTGTGGCCTTAACCTAACTACAAAGGTATCACAGCATAAGCCACATGTTACAATGTATTTCAGACCTCGCTATGAGACACCGAGTAGTGTGAGAAAGTGTCTGTATTTGATGACCTGGGAATACGAACAAGTTGTTGAGATATGACGTCTATGACTGGATTATTTTTCCGGATTGTCAAAAGAAATTAAAAAAGTGAACAGAAAGCGAAGTCATGGTCAGATGATAGCCAAAAGGTTCTGGGACTGCATTTCGGCCGATGCGTTTTGCCTCTTTTGCCCCCCGCATGAATTGTTTACCTGAATGCAACCAAAACCCACTCAAATGTGATTGGTCAATAATACTCGCACTAAAAACAGACTACAAACAGAAACCAGAATGCTTTCAAAACTAAAATCTTGTCGCTAAATACTTGGATGAAGCGAGTATCCGGTACAGATAAAGAACAAAAGTCCTGACTTACTTGGGGATGTTCTCGAAAAAACTTTCTAATAAATAATAAATATAGCAACTACCGATGAACTCATATCAATTTCAGGCTTAAATAACAATTTCAGATCAGACCACACCCACTCAGTGTTAAAGCCACACCCACTTCTATTTAAACCCTGCCCATTTGGAGAACATGTACAAACACAGATAATTTAGTAGGTTGAACAAACAGAGATCCTGATAATAGTGTACTTGCTCATATCAAAAATAAAAATAAAGTTAAAAAATAAAAAAGAAATACTTCAGTTTTTGTCAGTTGTGGGCTGATATTTGCTAACCACCGGTCTACAGCCATGCTACTGTGTGCTCTAATGGCTCTGTAAGGCTATACTTAGGCACAGCAGTGCTTTAAGCTAAATGCTAACATCAGCATGCTAACAATGACAATGCTAACATGCCGATGGTAAGTGGGCATAATGTTTACCATGTTCCCCACAGCGTGTTAGCATGCTAACATTAGCTAATTAGCATTAAATGAGCACAAAAAGTACAACTAAGGCTGATGGGAGTGTTTAAGTGGAGGACGGACTGACACTGCCTTCCATAGAGAAAACAATGGAGGCTAAATACACTTACATGATTAGGGCCCAAGATGCTAATTACAGTTTCATTTCCTTTGGTAATATAACTCAAAATAAGGCTTAGTCAGCTGAAATAAAGCAGCTCTGGAGCAGTTCAGCTCTGACAAAACAAACGAAATGACCCCAAACTATGTGAAAGATTTAGCTATTGCAGGCGTCAACAGAAACAAAAGGAAAATTAGCACGTGTCTTGACGATGTGGATAAGCAGCAGAGTCAGAAACAAGCAGGCAGTGGAGGTTGGAGGTTGTTACTGAGTAAAAGGATGTCTGGTCTGTTCATCTGGACTTGCTGCCATGGTGACCACAGACAGACAAATATATAGATTGCCTTTCAAGTGCATTTCATTGGACTTCCTTTTACACGGCTGCTGCGCTTGAACAAGCACTGACACGTAGCTTTGCTGATAGACACCCACCAAGCTTTTGACAGATAGCAACACCTTAGATTTACATGAAATTCAACATCAACCCAAACCAGCACGAAAACACTACAGAAAATTATGGCACAAAAATCCAAAATGAAAGCGTTTTGGAAAGAATTTTAAGCTGATATGGTGACGACATCCAATGTAGGTCCGAATTTCACAAAGCAAAGCAGGTACAGTAGCAGCTGATGTCTTTATTTTCATGGTTTTCACCAAGCCATTGTTTCTTTGACAATGCCCCCAACTGCACCGTTTAAACTCCATGAGATTAAACACACAGTGACTCTGAGGCAACTCTTCTGCTTGGAGCAGGGGTCCTTTTGTTCCTGAGTATGTCTCACCATAGTCCAACAAGTCACACAGGCTGTGCTATGGTGGGCTCGAGCCAAAATGCCACAACATGTGCTCATTGCTTCCAGTGTGATCAAGTCAATGTAGAAATAGATGACCAAAAAACACATCAGATCCAAATAGATCAAAAGTTTGATCCAATATGAGCTCCTCTACAAGCAACAGGAAGAAAAGAATCTTACACATTTACACACAAACATTAAGAAAGATATCGGACGAAAACATCTTCAGGATGTGAAAGTCAACGTTAGACTTTGGTTGTTCTTTTTCTTCCAAGGGCTTAAAACTCAAACGATAAACATTGTCTTTTTTGTGTCAAAGCAAAGTTTAAAATTAAAAGTTTATTTACATGATTCCCTTACGAGACTTGGCCTAATTTCCCTCAAATTTCCGTAACTTAAAGGCCTGATGACACTGTAGTTTCAAGTGGCAAAAACAACTGTGTCAAAATCAGTTCATTCAGTTGAGAGAAAATTGAAGAAGCTTAGCTACTGTGACTAACAAGCACTAGCATGTCCTGGCTGGCGAGCATGTGAGCAGTTAGCTCCTCAACTACAGTAGTTCACCAACTGAGCCAGAAAGCCAACAAGCTTCTTGAACCACTTATTCCACCGTGCCACAGGCCTTTACGTGAGTTTAATGACATTTTCATCAGCAATTTATTATTTAATGCAGAAAATCATATGATAATGAAACGTCACTGATTGTTATTCTCTTTTTGTTCTTTCTCCCCACATAAGGGCATCAGAATTCCTCTAACAAAATGCCCTTGTAATTGTTAAATTCCTCCAGAAGGCAAACACTTTCTGCTTCAGTGAATGGAGGTTGGTCAGTTATGTTTTGTAGTTTGAAAAGACTTTTAATTTACGCAGAATTCATGGCAAATTAGTCTTACTGAAAAGGTAACTTCAGTATGTTTCAACCTGGTCCCTGTTTTCACATATCTGAGACTATGATACCAATGGGAACATTTTTTTAATTGGTTCAGTGATGAGTGAGAAGGCTGCAGCCAGCAGCTGTGAAACAGGCTGCAGTGTAACCACTCTAGGCATATGGCACCATTAATGTATGTGCAGCCACTGAAAGTGTTTGCCACTTTTTTGCCACCGACAGGCTCAGATTGTTATTAGATGTATCCTAGAACATTATGGAAAAGATCCCTACAGAGACAGACCTTTTTGTTAAAGAGTAACAACCAGAAACAGCCCCAAGATCGTTGTTGCCAAACCCACCAGACTCCAGTATGTATAGAGCCGGTACATATTTGCCTCTAACGGGGTGAATTAAGGGTTTATTTCAACCAAACCAGACTTGGTGATTGTTGGAACAGTGTTAAAGTGACTTTTGTAAGTCTTATTTTGATTCTGGCGACTTTGAAGAGTGTTTTATGATGATAAATTTACTGTTTATGGAGTCTGGTGGGATTGGTGAAAGCAATTTTGGGCTGTTTCTGGCTAAACAAAATTGATCTTAGGCAGACTTTTTACTTCTGCCCAGACATGTAACTACACGGCGTCACAGACCTCCCGTCTATTTTTGTAAGCTTAAACCATGTCCCTCAGTGGAAACAAAGCTTTTATTTATGTTAATTTCACAGATAAGAAACAATAAATTGTGTGTGATTTAACCTTTGGGGATTTATACATCGAGATTTATTCTGGATTCGTATGAGCAGAGAAAATCTCCACTCATTGCTAGGCTAATTTATACAATATAAAATGCCATAGGCTTGTGCTAATAACGTTAGCATGTTGTATTTGTTTGGAAAACCTGTTTTGTATAAGACAGTTGTTTTGTCGGTGAACCCAGTGAGTTGTAATGGAGCTGAATTTTATTACATTACCGTTGTTAAATGTTGCTGTTGTCCCTGGCTTCATATGAGAAGAAGATATCTCCGCTAGTCACTAGGCTAATTTATACAATGTAAAATGGCATAGGCTTGTGCTAATAACGTTAGCATGTTGTATTTGTGGGGAAAATGTGTTCAGATAAAGACAAGTGTTTGTCTGTGAATGCTGTGAGTTATAGTGAAGCTGATTTGTGTACTTGTCAATCAACTAAACTTAACAGCACTTCACAGAAACCTCCGCCGCCAACTAGTGTTTTGGAGGTGTAACTGCAGAGTGACACAGACACACCACTGCATAAGTATACCCTTTACTCTTAAACCAAAAGGTCTGTCTCTTTAGAGATCCTTTCCATAATGCTGTCAGACAATTGAAATAACAATCTGAGCCTGTTAGTGACAAAAACAAGCACTTTTAGTGGACTTAAACTAATGGTGTGAACACGCTCCATGTGGTTACATTGCAGACTGTTTCGCAGCAGCAATCTCACTCAATACTGGACAAATTTCAAAAAAGTCGTTCCTATTAATCACAAACACATGAGAAAATGGTCCAGGTTGAAAAATACCACAGTTACATAGGACTAATCTGTAAAGACTTCGGCAGCTGTCTTACTGTTATTTTGATCTACGTCACATCCTGTCTTTGTGACACTGACCCCTGGAGCTGGTGGTGTTGCAGTGTTTTGCCCAAGTATCAGTAAGAAGCATGCTTGCCTAAATAGAGGTCTGCACCCCTATGACAGTCTCCAAACTCTCACTCTGCTGATTTGTATGTCACACACTCTGCGTTTCGAGCAGCAGTCTCTCGGCTGTGAATATTAGTTTCCTAGCTGAGTGACCTGTGCTCAAAATTCAGTTAAAGCACGTATCCTAAATTTGTCCTGAACACCCCATCCACAGCTGTCCACTCACCCAGTGTAAGTGGGCCAAAGACGTTTTTTTTTTCTTGTTGGCAAGCTGCCCAAAATGATGACTTTTTATTTTTTTATGAATGAAAAAGCATCTCTTAATGTAAAAACTCTGCAATGATAATCTTTCAAATACTTTTTTTTTCACCTTTAGGTAGCACTCGTCATCTTCCACTGAGACTCTGTCTGCCAGTGCTTTTGGGAAACCAGGCCTGCAGCAAAGGGCTTTGAATCTTCAAGTAAAGATGTACAAAGAGACACACAAGCACCCACTGCAATAGGAGAAAAAAATGGCAAAGGTTCTTTTTTAAAAAAGAGACAGAAAACTAAATTATTAATGCACTTGCAGCATTAATCTCAAGAGATGTTTCTTCCATACAGTGTGGAATTAAGTACATTTTTTAAATCAATTTTTCAAATGCATGTTATATTGCAGGGTTTTTTTCCACAGCATAAGCTCAGTGCATTTCAAGCCTCCATGATAAGAGTAAATTTAGGAAAACTGCTCAAAATGCCTACATTAGTTTATTTAAAACCTCAAGTAGTCGCCATGGAGTGTGCTCCCATACCTTAAGCAGTGATTGACATATATATGGTCGGTATTCAAGACAAAGAGGAGTCCTTTTGAGGAGAGCGTCATGCAAACTGCAGCAGGATAGATGAGAAAGAAGCAAAGCACCCGCTCCCTCGAGGTCTTAGAAGCAAGTTTCTGTGTGATCGAGCAGTTTTTTAGGCCATAAAAACAGGAAAGGGATTCTGTTGCAGCCTTGCATCCATTCAAAGTGCTTGAATTAGATAGCTGAGTATAGTTTGTTTTTGTTCTTCAAGCGCAGATATTTGTTTTTTGTTTTTTGTTTTTTTTTGTCTTGGGCAACGACCTTACAACAACCCCTTTTCTTTTAAGTCCACCCACTTTCAAATTAGAACAAACTTAATCCCCTAATACGAACTCTCTGTCTCAGGAAAAAAAAAAGGAGAAAGATTACGTTGAGCTGACCACTCCTTTCACCACCGGTTCTCTGTTCAGGTACGTGGCCCAGTAGACGAGGTTGAAGGTTCCAAACAGGACGGGGAACACTATCCGCGACATCTTGTCGATCTTGCTGACGCTGTTGTAGGTCTTCTTGGGGTCCACCATCTTGGTCTCTGCGGCCCGGAGCTGCACCGACGTCGTGTTGGAGATGGTGGAGATGGACACGTCCTTGGTGAGGTTGGGGGTGTAGTTGACGCCCGCTGAGCAGACGTTGTTGGGCTTCTTCGACAGCACCATGGGGTCTCGTTTCTACAGCGGGACAGATTGCAGTGAGCGGTGAATTGGTTTTAAACCCTGCTGTTTTTGGATAATCAATGTGTTTCATTCTGTCTGGAATAATTAGGTGCTTTTGCAGGCGAGTAACATTTCTGGCAAAACATTCAGGGATGCTGTGTTATTGAATTTCACACAGGTAGCAGTTTGGTTTATTTATGATGACTGCAGTGTGCAGGTCTGTGTTTTAATCCAGCTGCTAACACATGATTGACAGTTTTCCTGGTAAAATTTTAAGCAAGCAACTTGTATAGTAATTAGTGTTGTCAAGTAATGTATCCTGATTATTCCTAATTCAACTTAGGTCTAGTATATAAATCCTTTTCATAGTTCGTGCCGTTTACACAACCAAAACTGTAAGCTAAACTTTCATTTGGGAATACTGCCTTAATGTCATACTTGGAAAAAGTAGGTAACACTTTACTTAAAGGTATCTACATAAGGGTGACATGACACTGTCATAACTATTTTTTTTTTATTAACCTTTATTTATACAGGTAAAATCTCATTGAGACCCAGGGTCTCATTTACAAGAGAGACTATGACAACTACAACTACAACTATGACATGACACTGTCATGAACCTGTCATGAACATTATGTACATGTCATAAACGTTTATGACTGCTGTCATTAAGTGTCATTCAGTTTGGGTTGTCTTGATAATGACAACTTGACATTAACTAGGATGACATTACCTTAAGATGTCTTTGTCATGACAACTTGACATTAACAACAAATGCACCTCTTTTTGTGTTTATGACAAGTTGACATAATGATTGATACAAAGACATCCTCTGGTAATGTCATCCTGGTTAATGTCAAGTTGTCATAATCAAGACAACCCAAACAATGTCAACTTGTCATTACAAAAACCTAATGACACTTAATGACAGCAGTCATAATTGTTTATTACATGTACATATTGTTTATGACAAGTTCACAACAGTGTCATGTCATAGTTATGACAGTGTCATGTCACCCTCATGTAGATACCTTCAAGTAAAGTGTTACCAAAAAGGGTTTCCCCTCCACTCCAGTCCAGTCGCCAGAAAAAGATGTTGGCATTGTACAGTTCTACAAACAATGAATACATTACATTTGCAAATTTTTAGGCATAAAGCAACGATGTTTTGTCTTGACCATCGCCCTTTTCTGGCGGTGATTGTCCCATGGAAACCAGTTGTTTTTTGACAGAGACATTGCTGCTTTTCCAGCGGTCACTATGCCCTGAAAACGGGGTATTTTAAGCCAAAATGTGATCTTTTCGTAACCATTACCACGTTTCGATGTGTCAACTAGAGTGTAATTGTAATGTTGTTGTTGTAATCCGTGGTTTGCATGAATGTACAATGCCAACATTTCTTCTGTCAACTGGGATGCCCACTCTTGTAACTGTGTGCTAACCACATAGTGAGGGCCAGGGGACAGTTAGCTTATCTTAGCATAGCATAAAGAGTGGAAACAGCTTGCTTAGCTTTGCCCAAGGCTAACAAAATCCTTCCACCTACTGTTTATAGTGAGCTTATCTTTGACAGAGCCCGGCTAGCTGCTCCACTCTGCCTCCAGTTGTTATGCTAAGCTAAGCTAACCAGTTCCTCTCATTTCCTCCATGCACCTCTTGTTACATATTTATCATGCAGACATGAGAGGTACTGATCTTCTCATTTAACTCCACAACATGGCTACAACATGTGAAACCATTAATATGGTCCTTTAAAGTAGCATGACATTCATGTTTGGTACTTGCAATCTAGTGTCCCCAAGCTGTACCTTAGGGTGCTGTGCCTCGAGAGCCTTCTTGCCATCCCAGGCCCAGCTCCTTTTGGTGAAGTAGTTCACTGTGGCGAACTCGATGAGGGCAGAAAAGACGAACGCGTAGCAGACGGCGATGAACCAATCCATAGCTGTAGCGTAGGCCACTTTGGGGAGTGAGTTCCTGGCGCTGATGCTGAGGGTAGTCATGGTCAGCACAGTGGTCACCCCTGGGTGCAAACAAAAGGACGTGACAAATTTAAATTGAGTTGTATTTTTACAGGCTGTCTGGAAACAACTAACAGTCTCCCCTCACTCAACAAAGGTGGGCGCTTTAATAACTCTTAACTGCCAGCGACTGCAGTGCTGCTGCTCAGCGGCTGACCGTTATTACTCTCCCTCGTGTGGCTGTGCATGACAGGAATATTACCCAGACAAATAAAAACGTTAAAAAGTAAATGAGTAAATAAGCGGCTTCGCTCACCAAAGACGGTCCTCGCAGGAACTGATTCTCTGTTTAGCCAAAACGACACCTGGGACAGGATTACGGTCATGAAACAGGGCATATACGTCTGGATGACAAAATATCCAATCTTCCTCTTCAGGTAGAAGTGAACCATCATCACAGTGTACTGTCCTGAGGGGAGACAGAGAGATAGAAAGGATACAAAGTTAGATAGGGACAATAAACAGGTGCTTAGACATGTGATCTAACCTCCTGATTCGTTGGGTTTCCACACAGGACACAATTAAGTTACTGTTTACGGCCACAAACTTGACAGCTAGAGAAGTGCTCATTAACTCTTCTCTTCTTTTCCCACTGCAAATGTCTCCCTCCTCTGTCCCGCTATTGCGTTATGAAATAATTAGAGGTGGTGCAAACTGCAGGACAGAGGTGGAAAGGTTAAAAAATTAAGCTTGAACGTGACGGCGAAATGAACCTGACTCCAAATCCATTATTAAAGTGAAAAATGAGAGCAAGTGGCGTTAATTATTGCGAGGACATGACAATAGATTATCATGCAGTTAGTGTCTGGGATTGGACCACGGGGCGATGACAGTTGGAGGTAAATCCAGAGGAAATGTGGCGAGATAGAAAGAGAGAGAGGGAGACACAGTATTCAGTTAAACAAGCGAAGATTGCATTTGAGGCTTTAAAAAAAATCCTCTCACCAGCAGCAGTTTGTGGCTGCAGGCGCTGGTAAACTATGAAAAACCCAATGACTATATTCCACACACTAGGGCACATGTACACAGGCTCTCTCACTCTCACACACACACACACACACACACACACACGCAGAGTAATACATGAGGCTTTCTCCAGGCAAAATCGGATTTTTGAACCTCCCTAATCCCTGGTTACAATCTGCATCCTGCCATCAGTGAGAGAAAGACAGAGAGTGAGGAGGAGGGAGGAGGAGGAGGGGGGAGGCTTCCTGTCCTGGGATCCTCACACAGCACCAAGCCCCGCCCACTCCGCCCTGCCAATCCAGGCACCGACACATACACACTCTGAAACACACATGAAGCATGATTTCTAACTGCTGACAGCCACCACACACACACACACACACACACACACACACTCTGACACACACCTCAGTCTAAGCCACGGAGAGGGACACTCGCTGCTGCTAATCACTGGTGGGATGGAGGGGGGCTAACCGTGTGGACATTTTCTATCTTTCCTGTTGTTCTTTTGTCATCTGACAGCTGTTTGTGGAGTAATGATTAAACGTGTTTGATGAGACTGGCTGGCGTGCGAGGGGAAGAAATCCAGAAAATGCACTGTGGGCTTCAACTGACAGCGGCCTGAGAGTGAGGCAGACAAGAGCGACACAACACTCATCAACGTCACCGCCATGCCTCGACCAGGAGATCCCCAACACTGTTAGTTCTCACTGCGACCCCATCACCTGTGACGTCCTCATGACTCCAGGCCGCCTGGCTCACAGATACCCTGTCAACTGCCGACCTGGGACACCCCGGGGTGGCCTTTGCCCTTGATGCATGGATCCCGACAGGACCGGGGGCAGAGGAATGAGGAGGAACATGTTCCTCTGGTGGATCTTACTGCTTTTCTTCCAAGGATTTGTATTTCACAATGTCCACGGGGAACTTCCTTTTATAGCGGGGAACAATGCTGCCATGCTGGTCAACTGGTGAGTAGGAAATAATGTTTTCACCTTTAACTTCCAAGCTAGTGATCATCATCTGGAAATGAGCCCTGCAAGTCCTTACGAACTGTCCATAGAACTAATGCTACAACACATCTTATCTACTTTTAGAGTCAGGAGTTATCTCAGGGAAGCTATTACTGTCTGAGACGGTGCAAGTCACAACCTTCAAGAGAAACTTGTGGGCTAATCTCCTCCTCCATGTCCTCAAAAAGGAGTGTTGTCTAAGATTAGATGTGCTAATTAAAGCCTCACAACATCACATCCGTGCGCTATTGTGAGCCGTGCACCTCCATACCTGAGGTTTCTAGATCTGTCTTCATTACCAACCAACAAAAAAACACTTGTTCATTGAAGCCATGCAGCGAGAGCTAGGAGATGTTCTGCTGCTGCTCAGAGTTACAACACAAGAAAGGCCAGATTATCATTAACTGACTCCTGTTTTGAATTTCAGCTCCACAAGTGCTTCATTACTTTGTCTAGACCCAATGAAGCAGCAGGTGACTGTCAGACTTGTTTTAATCAAGTGAGGAAACAACAGTAAACTCCAGGTGACATTTATCAGAGTAAGATAAATCTACTGGCCCTCACAGCAAGCACATGAATGTATCTGGGGACATTTAATATACAATTCTAATAATGTTTGATGACTTTCAGGCAACACATCTTGTAATAGTCAGATATCTTTGAAATGTGGTAGACTTGAATGTGCTAAAATAATAAATATAGTCATGCAGCAGGACCACGCCATACAAAGAACTGTGAGAAGTTGTTGTTAAAGTTGTCACCTGTCATTCCCACATCGGCGATTACACCTTCAGTGACACTGAATATTCCATTTTCAGCACGTTTGCATGTTTATCATAGCTAAAAGTGTCATATTTGGTCTGTGAAAGTGATAAGCAAGGGAGTCAAACACATACCGTAAATTAACCTACTGGACTGAATGTGACCCCCCTGGAGCCAAAACACATCAGCAATCTCCACCACTGATTTGGACGGTTTCCAGACAGAAGCTTTGAGCTGCATGAATGATGATTTACTGCCCTCAGTCCTTGGGCTAAATGGAATTCACAGATAACGTTTAGCATTTTTCTTGTAATGATCATAACACCAGATGGCAGTTTGATGATTTAGGGGCGGACAAATACTGTCAAATAAACTGTCAGACATATAAATACAGATAAAATGACCTTGAGTATTGATTAAATGTTGAAGTACATGACATTTCAAAGAGGGTAAAGGTCGTTGCCTGATCACTCATATGAGAAGAATAGAGTAGTTGGTGTCAGGTTTCAGGGAGCCAGAACTGGTTGAAAATTTTTGTCAATAATTTGACAATGAAAAATGGTATAATAGTGCTATTAGAAGTGGTGTGTCAGGCATAGATATAGAAATGTAAATGCCTCAATGGCCACTGAAACGTACACCAACATCGTCGTCATATTGGAGAGCAAGACTTGCCTGTAAACAAATGAAAGTAAACAGAGGAGAGGTGGTTTTTTTTGGATAGAACGTACTACTTATTTCAGTGAGTCATTTTTATATTCAAAGGTGTGTATCGTTGAACAGAAAAAGTTAATTCAAATTTTGACAGTGTGGCTATAATCGCTGCTGGACACTCAAAAGAGGAGTGCGCAGATCGTATGCTCGTTGGCCGTCGGCTGTGCAATTTTTTGATCAAGAGACAGGTAACGTGAGGCAATTGCCTTGTTGCCAATAGTTCTTCAATGTCGGTTTGGTTTGTCTGGGCCTTAACATGAAGTTCAATGTTGGTTTGGTTTGTCTGGGCCTTAACATGAAGTGAATTACTGACATTGAGGAGAATAATACATCAGGAATTGTAGAAACTCATGTTTGTCGACACATTTTTAACTGTAGCTAGCACGTTAGCTTGCTAATGCTGTCTGCTTATCAACTCCTTGATCATAACAGAATACAGTAACTTTCACCCCTCATCATTTTAGGAAGGCCACAACAAGAAAACTTCTAATTATTTTGTATTATGTGTGTTTAGATTGGTTCCAGTCTCTCATTGGACGCCTTTTATAAAAAAAAAAAAAAACAACAACACAAAAAAAAAACACAACAAAAAACTCTCCTGTTACTGAATAATATTTTTCACCTCAAATGTTTTCAGGAACATATTTTAGTGTACTGTTTAGCTGTGAAATGAGAAAGTTTGTGACCCGGCCACCATCTTGGATATTGTTTACCGGAGCACCAAGCACTGCCCACCAGCCGGACCATCTTTTTCATTTTACAGCTAAACAGTACACTAAAATATTGTTTCTGACAGTTTCGGCAAATACGACACAGAGTTATTTTCAGTTACCAACTGTAGTTTTAAGGATACACACAATGTGATGGGGTGAATACTTAATGTAAATGTAACTTTGTTTGTTTCCAAAAAGCAGCTTTAATTTAAAGTACATTCTGAATGAATTACCCCACAAGACAACTTGATAAAAACATGAATTTTATAAGCCGGTATTCTATAGAAGGCTGCACAGCACCCTGATTTTGTTCAGCATTTTTGCCCTTTTTTATCATATCAATGCATCTTAATCTTTAACTTATACAAATTTTGTGTGTTTAAATATTAACGTGTCCCTAGTATTTTATTTACAGTTACCAGAAGACATTTGCCAGGCAGATATTCAGCCTTTCAGCCATCCTTTTATCAACTGGTCAATTAACTTTAACTAACTTCAATTTTAATTTAATTTTTAATTTCTATGTATCTACTTATTTTAAATTATTTTATGGCTTTTTTAATGCCACTGTATTATTGTTGATGAGGGGAAGTGTGGTCTATGTATGTATCTATCTATCTATCTATCTATCTTGAAAACCGGTCAACAAGGCATCTGATCAACCACCCAGTTAGTGAACCAACAATGCACTTCCTCAACCAATGAACCCTTTAACCCTTTGCTTTAAAACACAGGAAGGTTTCACTTGTGGCGTGCAGATTAAATAAATAAATAAACAAAATAAATAAATAAAAAAAAAACAGGGGAAATCCACACTTTTAATAATGATTCTACTAGAAACTGGAGGGAAGTGTATTACAGTTCCATTTTACATAAGAGTATTAAGCAGATGCCTTTCAATGCCCCCACCCCCCCATGCGTCAGAGCGAGGCTGTCCAATCCCAATGTACACACAGACACACACAAATCTTTTTTTTTAATCTTTGTGAGGACCCAGCTCACATTTTAAGTCAAACTATTTACATTATGCTAAATATCAAACTTAAAAGCTTCCAATCATACTCATGAGAATCAGTTTTATTTAGAGTTTCACCTTAATACTGAACCTAAACCTGACTCATAGATCAGATACAACCTGCAGTAACCAGGTTCCATCAAAACGTCCTGACTTTGTATTTTTTTTTTACCATTCCTGTGAGGACATTTGGTACTCACGAGGATAAATGCACAAGAGCACATACCCACAAACACACAGATACACTCAGCGACAGCCAACCAACCAATCCCTCGCTGATCTGTGATGTCATCTTCTTATGCAAAAGCTGATGGGTGGTTGGATGGGGGGGGATTAACCCTAGGTCTCAGGTCTCTCTCTAGCTCCGCGTGTGTGTCTGTGTGTGCGCGCGCGTGGGCTCATGTGGGGATAAGTGTTGTTTGACAGGGCTGTCCGGGCCTGTAGACAGCTGGTTGTGTGAGGGATAGGCTACTCTCCTCCACTAGCCTCCACTCATTGACTCTGATCTCCTGATAATGTTTCCCACATTTACTCTCTGCCTCGCACGCCCATCTCTCCCTGCAGCGTTTATCTTTTCTAATCTAGAATTAGTTACATCATGTTATTTGGTATTACACTTATCATGCATCACATACAGTATGAATTTACCCAAGAAGAGGGTGCACAAGACAGGAGAAGAATGAGGGGGGACTGTAAGTAAAGGGTGGAGCTGTTCCACTGTGGTTTGATGTCTTTTAATAAATTAAAGGGTTAAAGTATCATTCTATAGCTGTCTTGATGTCACAAAACCCCACAAAGGGCCAACAATTAGCTGTTAGCTTCTTAAAACATTCCTCCTTCTCTATCTTGTCATCTCCTCAGACAGCGAGCACCCAAAGAAGAGTAAATAGTGTGGTTACTTGTATAGAATATTGGCTATTCTGTAAAAATTTAAGTTATACATCGAATAAAATATGTCACTTAGTCAGGGGTCGTTAGCTACTCAATGACTGAAAAGGGATCCCTTGAGGAAAAAGGCTGGGAACCACTGGTGTAGCTAACGAAACGAGCAAGCTAACGGACAAAACTACCGTTAGCTTGCTTTTACGACTTGTTTAGGATAAAGGGTAAAAGAGTGATATGAAATTATCTCTCTTTTACCCTTTTTATTACAGTATTCACACATAAATAAAACAAACTGAGCCCTGGCCAATAAATGTTATACATTATTTCCCCCTCAAACTGTTATATGACAGCTACAGTGCTACACATAGCTGCAGTGACTATACATAATAGATTGCTTTTCAATGGACAGCACTACAGGCGTTTCCTAGCAACAGATATTGCTGGCCTGCTCCCTTCGTCAAATAAAATGATACAGACTGGATGTCCTTACATTCACATGATTCACAAAGCATACTGTAGTCTATAATGCTTACACTCAAGTGCTTATTACTAGCCTTTTACTTAGATTGAATTTGGTACAGCCCCATCCTTGTAATTGTACTGTGTACGCTTCAGTTCGTGTTATATAGCTTTATGACGCACATGGTACCTATTTATCTGTCATCACTTGTGCTTTTTCTATCATCAAAAAATGTCCATCTTTTGATATTAAGTACCACTCTTCTCACATACATCTCCTCCACCAAAATGAGCGTGTATATGCAGGTTTTATGAACACGGCTCTGCAGTGTTTTTAGTGGTGTCACATTTGAACTTCAGAAACGAGCCTATCCCAGCTGTCATTGGGCAAGGGGCAGGGTACACCCTGGACAGGTTGTCAAACTATCGCAGGGCTGACATGTAGAGACAGACAACCATTCACACTTATGGACAATTTAGAGTCACCAATTAAACTATCCCCAAACTGCATGTCTTTGGACTGTGGGAGGAAGCTGGAGTACCCAGAGAAAACCCACCCTGAAACGGGGAGAACATGCAAACTCTGCACAGAAGGGCTCCCACACCCAGGATGGAACCAGGAACTCTCTTGCTGTGAGGCGACAGTGCTAACCACCACAACACCGTGCTGCCCCAGAAAAGCCGCAGGTTCAAGTAATTTAACCACTATTAATGTTAGCAGGGGGATAAAATGGAAGTTAGTTGCTCGGCTGGCGAAAGTCTCTGGTGCGCTTGCTCTATGGGCTCGATGACGCAGAAGATCTGGGTACTTTTATAACCTGGAAGTAAAACTTTTTTGACTTCATGTGCCACTGAGCAACTTTCACAGCAATGAACAAGTCCCTACCTTCAACTGTGTGCTGTTCCTTTTAATACATTCATGATCCACTGCACATGGGAGTTTGCCTAGAGGTCTTTCTGGCAAAAAGCGCTCTGGGCAGAAGCGTATTCGTTTTGACCAAAAGCGCGATTTTTTTCCACACCCTTAACCAAGAAATCCTCTAAGGAAACTTTCCCCAACAGCGTGTCTACCTGGGAGTCATGAACTGGACCCTTTTCTTTGCTTGTATCAGCTTTAGATGTATATTCTCTTTTTTGTAAATTCAAGTTTGTTTATTATCCATAGACACACTCACACACACACACCTACCTCTGCTTGTGTGTATGTTCTCAGTGCCGGCAGTTTGCCCGATAAGATGGTACTGGTTGAGTCTGGAGCCGTCCCCTGCCACCTCCACAGACTTATCAGCTCCCTGGGTCCAAGTGTAGACGACCTCTGACACTGGATAGGCGTCTGAGACAGAAGGGGAGAGAGATGACTTGAAATTAGCCTGTGATTTAGAGTTTAACATGTTCATTTGTAATACATGAACATCCAAAATGCAAGTTAAAGTACTTAGTAACAGTTGATTTCAACCCTGTCATCGCTCATATTATGTGTAGCCACCCATGTGCTTGTGTGTGTGTGTGTGTATTTGAGCCCTGGCGCCGAGTCTTTCTAGCACTTTTTGATTAGACCACAGGCTCAAAGCCAAAAACAGAATTTTGCTTGCATGCCTGTAAATGTGTGTGTGTGTGTGTGTGTGTGTGGGCAGATATTTGAGTGTATTTTTGTTTAAACCACACTTCTGGGTCAGAGGTGAGCTCCCCTGTCGGCAGGAACCAGACCGAGTCAGATTAACTGTGATGTGTTGCATCACACTTGTGATGAAAAACAGAGCTCAAACTCTGCAGCCTCTCTTGCTATTTCATTTATTCATGTTGAATCCCGTACAAACACTGGACATCGATCTATCACCTGCCCCCTGCTGAGGGCTGGAGTATGGAACGATGAACATTGTAACTGGCACGGAGAGAAGGATTTATCCCTCTGAATGTTTTAGATCTGAACTGTTTGTCATTTTTATCTGCCACAGTTCAACCTGAGATTCAATCCAAGCACACTTTTTATTAGAGAATAATTTACACACTGTTTATTGTGAGGGGATGAAAATACAATCTGAATGAATCATGTTGAAACTGAGTGCGTTCACAGAGCAGTCTGTGCAGCCAAATGTATTTTTGTCAGTTGGAAATTTGTCAGTGTGACAATTATGTTTGTAACTTCAATGTCTCCAAATAGAAGACAAGACAAGTACATTTAAACAGTCAAATGTTTACAACATGTTTTGCTGATTGTGACAAAAACTAATTGCTTGGCCTTGTGCAACGAGGTCGTTTATTTCTGTCCAGTGCATAACATCTTAACTTGAGTGTTTCCATTCTGAGTGTTCTCTTGGCAGCTGGCTACTGCTGTACTATATATGTAGAGCACTGTCAGGTCAGAGGCCAGGACCCTTAATTGTAGGGTAGTTAGATTGCAATAAGGGATTATTGGTGAATTTCATTACGCAGAGGAAGAGCTAAAGACTTTGGCAGGCAAGGCGGTACACCTGTGCCAACTTTTCAACAGTTCACGCTTAATGCTTTGCTGCTCCCGTCTTGTGTGTGAGGCAAGGGGAGGTGCAACACAGCCAAACTCATCATTTACTATACAGTAGCTCTACACACTCTGAGTGGAGCTGCAGGAAATATTCATCAAAATAAATGCATAGGGTTTTACAAACCCAAATGTGTTATTCTGAAACAACACAGGTGACAGACAAATGAATATTCAATGTCACACATGTCAATAATCAGCTCAGTATTAGCACAGGGTTGCTTCCTGATAAGATTTTTACAGTATGTTATTAGAACTGGACAATCAAATGTGAAGGATGTTGTTCAAATCAATCAAAAAGCTGAAGACAACAAAATTGGCAACCCATTGCACAGAAAAAATGCTGGCATTGTATGTTTCTGCACACCATGGATATGTTACATTTGTATGTTGTTATGTAGTGGATACAGTGAAACAGCAATGCTGTGTTTAACTTGTGGTTAGGGTTAGGTACAAAAACGACTCGGTCATGGTTAGAAAAAATTCATTTTTTGGCTTAAAATACCAGGTTTCCCAGCAGGAAAGGCAACGATGTCTCTGTAAAAAACGACCACTCTTTGTCCATAAAAAGCTACTGGAAAAACGACGACAGGTCGCTATAAAACACTCACATTTGGTGCTTAAAAAGCTGCTGTAAAAACAGTGATGGGATGCTACAAAACACTCATGATTGGTGCCTGAAAAGCTGCTGGATAAACAGTGAGGTGCTGCCACAGAACACCCACATTTAAAAAGCCTTTTGAAAAACAGCGACAAATTGCTACAAAAAAGCCCAGCATCTAGTGCCTAAAAAGCTGCTGGAAAAACAGTTAAGGCTCGTCACAAAACACCCACATTTGGAGCTTCTAAAGCCAGTGGAAAACAGTCAGGGTGTTATCATAAAACACAAACATTTGGTGCTTAGAAATCTGCTATAAAAACAGTGATGTGTTGCTACAAAACACTTATGATTGTTGCCAAAAAGCCACTGGAAAACAGCGAGTGGTTGCTACAAAACACACCCACATTTGGAGCTTAAAAAAGCTGCTGTAGATGCAGCAGTAACTTGCTAAATCACGACTGGTTTTGTTGTATGTCACTCTCAGACAGAGGTCTGCAGCTCGGCGAATGTCTTGCCCAGGTGTCACATCATCCACCATCCCCTCTACCTCCAGATGATAAAGTCAGCTCATATACCACAGCACTTTAGAGGTGTTTATATGATAGATGTGAAACATCCAAATATAACTTATTTTTGGTCCATTTCTTTCAAATGGAGTCAATTAAAACTACTTTGTTGGGGTTGGGAAAGTTAAAATGATAGTTAACATAGGTAGAATAGAAACCAGTGTTGACTATAGGTCCAAGATGGAATATTAACCCCAAGCAGTCTCAAATAAATTAATTTATTTGCTCTAACCAAAGCTGCAAATGTTAGCATGTCTTGCTAACTAGCTAAACACTACAAGGTCAAGGAGCAATTCACTGAAATCAAATTACACTAGCTTGTGGGGTTACAGGCGATGTTTAAAAGAAGCCCTCTTCACAACTAGTACATCCACTGTGTTGTATATCCTCACTGTCCTGGATGCTGAGTTTCGGCTAACGTTAGCAACTCTGTTCTGCTCCTTATGGTGAAACGTGGTGAAAAGAACAATGCCGTTTCCTTTGTTTGCAAATAGCTGTGAAATCAACAGTCATCAGCTGGAAATTAGAAAAAGTCTGAGTGGTAAATCTGCCTCCATTATCACTGTAAACTGCACATGTGCTCAGCAAGAGCAGAAAACTTGGCAGGTGTAGTAACAGCAACTAATGGAGCAAGGTGTAGGAAACAATTACTCTCACAACTGCAAAAGGTCACCTGTCAGGAAAGTGCGTAAAACATAGGTTGTTGAACCAGTGCTGTCATTTTTGTGGTGAGGACAAACTGGAGAACACCAGCTTCTTTTTGCACGTTGGAGTATCCACAAAGAATTTGGGCCATGGTTTGGCTTTGGGACAGCCTCAGCCCTCTCTGTGACCCTCTAAGTCCTGAACTGACGCTGGTTAAATAGCAAATTCTTATCCTTATCAGATCTGGTGGCTGGGATGGCAGACTCCTTTCTGCTGTTCAGGTTTATTCATGAGTATCATATCATATCTGAGATTATGAAAGGCTCCAAGAAGGAGAGCAATCATAAAATGATTCACTCCGACATATGTTCAGAGGGATCATTGTGGGTTGAAGGCAGGACAAGCTGAGAGATGACTCATTAGAGCAGATTTCATTGTTTTCCCTCTGCTCACGTGGCCAGGTTTTGTGCACCTCACATCATTATCTGCATCCTTACGCACTTATTCGGAGAACAAGCAGTTGCTAAACATCCATCTCGCTGTAGACACCAGCTCTGCAAAGTTCCACGTGACTAGCCTTTCTCTGCGCTGTTGATTACGGCAGTCATCCAGAGCAAGTAGTTTTCTTTAGCAACTGTTTTTCTGCCTGTATGAGTTGGCTTCGACCTGTGGCCTCTCGCTAAGACAGATTTAATGTGACTGTTACGGTTGTCATGGTTTTCCAGACTGTTCATCACAAAGAGTTTACAGCTTTTGTATCTGATGCACTAACAGTACCAACACTTGGTAACTGCTAAATATATATGGTAAAATTAGAAAGTGCACCACTCTTAGCTGGGATTGCATCTTGAATTAAAAGCCACACATCACTGGGCTCACTACTCTAACTCCTCGGTGCATTTGTGAGAGTGGTATGGCTGACGGCCAGCAGCTGAATAAGGACAGGTGCTGTAAGGCCAGAATAAGGGATTAGTTGCCCTTTACCTGGGCCAACTTTAGAGCAGGCCCTCGTGCTTTTATTACACACCAAATCACTACTCTGTTACCAATCAGGGGATACAAGGAGCTATGGAAGATGTCAGGTGTATGAACACTTACTTTTACTGCTATTATGACCTTCATAATGTGGCCGAGCACCCTGCCAATATGCACTAACCCCAAATTGGTCAAGATGTTGTGAAGAAGGAAGTCTGAATCGTGGTATTTCTTTCTTCTTCTTAACCTTGACTGCTTCTGTAGCTCCTGCTCTGCGCCTTTGTAGGCAAGCACTGAATGATCACATCATGACGCTCTGAATAAAGGAAGAGGGGGGGATGGAGAGATTTGGTCGCTTTTTTTATACATGAGGGATTAATTTTGCCCATTTTTCATTACACCAAATGTTGTCTCCTTTTATCCCTCACTGATGTACAATAGTAAACAGTGGATTCAGTGGACTGCGGTCTTTTTTAATTTATTTTTGCAGCGCAGGTTCGACTAAACAGCTCGGGCATTGTATGATTCTGCAAACCACAGATACATTATATTTGCATGTCTCATAAGTATCATATCAGCGTCTCTGGCAGTGGAGGGGATGGCGAGATACCTGCCAAGATGCAGACCACTGTTTGAGACCAGCAAACAACAAAACCAGTTGTTTCTAGAGATTCATTGCTGTGTTTCCACCAGGGATAGTACGTCTATTTTTTTGCAGAGATGTCATTGTGTTTCCTGTTGGGATTTTGTAATGAAAAGCAGTTGTGTGTTGTTGAGACATCGCTGCATTTCCTGTTGTGATAGTGGCACAAAAAGTGTTTTTACCGAGACATCACTGTGTATCCTGTTGGTATTTTGTCATGAAAAGCAGGTATTTCTTTACTGAGACATTGCTGTGTCCTATCTACCTATCTACCACATAATAATGTACAAATGTAACATATCCATGCTTTGCAGAGATGAACGTTGCCAACTATCATTAAGGCGACTGGATTACATTATATCATCATGCTGTAGTAATGAGAGTGGACGTCCGGCACATTTGCAGCAGTGTGATGTGTAATGTTACCTGAGGACAAAGGCTTAATCAGGAGGTAGTCAGGTCAGACTGAGAACTGCACAGTCTCAGCGCCACAAACAACAAAAGAGAGACGTTCCCCCTACTGTGACACTTCACCTTGTGAAACTGCAGTGTTGCCATCAACACATTATTCTGATTGTACACTTACACTTTTAACCTGCAGGGTATCACACCTTGGCGATTAGGTTAGAGTTTGCCGCAGGCAGGCCCAACAGCTCCTTCCCCTGTAATTGGATTGCAGTCAAATGTGCTTCCCTTGAGTGTGGGTGGACCGCGACTCACAGAAATCTGGGGATAAGAGCCTCATCCTTTTAGCCCAAGAAGCTCCCGAGGTGTGGCATTTGGCCAGATCTGTCTTTAAATACCCCGAGGGCCACTCAAGTTTCTATACATGTCCTCAGCGGTAGGACACACAGCCAAGCTGTCCTGTTAAGAAGGCATTGGGGAAAACCCTTCTGATCATTGGCCTAATTAAGTGTTGGAGAACATGCGCTAATCTCCTCTTCTCTCTGTGACCTCGTCCAAAGTTCTGTAATAGTCGTTGCAAGGGAGGACCATGAATATGTAAAAAAAAAAAAAAAAAAGGTGCTCGATCAGAAACATCAGAGGTCCACACATGTCAGTGATCTGAGCCAGACTAGTTTGTAATCCTCTCCGGTGGGTCTACCCTGTGAAGATCCTGTTGCTGACTTCCTCTGTATATTGATCTCAGTCAGTGTGCATGTATACCTTCTTAAATATACACTCCTTTGGCTTTGCAGACAGACTCACTTGTTCTGTGCACCGAATCTGTACTTGGTCTAGCTTATGGTGGCTAACGTTAGCATTCTTATAGGCGACTCAGGTGGAGTGTATGTTGAGAGCATTAGAGCAGTGGTTCCCAACCTTTTTCCTTCAGGGACCCCTTTTCTATTATTGAGTAAACTGATGACCCCTGACTAAGTGACATATATTATGGATATTTCATATTATATTCAAAGCATAACACTGCAGGACATTTGTTTAAAACAAGGGATTTGTATGCAATCTGAGCAGATTATTTTCTTCCTGATAAATTTAGGGGCATTACTATCGCATGTATTTAAAAAAAAAAATTAACAATCATACCTACTTATATTTATTTCTATTGACAAATTCAGTTTTTCTCCCTGACTCTTGGCCATTGCTTTATTAGCGCTTTGGTTGTTTTAACTGCAGACTTTTCTCATGCAGGGCAAGTATGTTAAAGCAGAGAGTGAAGGCAGGTCCTCACTGTGCCCTTATCTCATGAGATTTCTTCCAAGTTTATATCTTTAATAATAATCTAAACTTAAACAAAGGACATTTCTTCACAGAAATGAATTAAATGCTGAGTTTTCTTACATCCCTTAAAATCAAGAAGACCTTAAAGAGCTTTGGCAACCCTGAGTGGGGGTCGGGACCCTCATGTTGGGAACTAGGGGGGTTGTCGAATGCGCAAGGTCTGGCACTGAGCGTTAGCAGGCTTATTGCTCCATTACTGAGTCATTTCGCTGACTGTACTTCTCTTGTGCTACTGTTACAACAGCTTTGCACTGTGGCTAAATGCTTTCAAAGTGAACTTGACAATCTTAGATTTAATATAAGGAGAGCAAAGTCAGCAATCTGCAGAAGATAATGACTTCTCAACTGAATCTCTGCAGCAGCATTCTATCAATTAGCCAAAAATGGCTCCTTATTGTTCTTTAAATTTAGATTCGTCGAACTTATTGCATCGCGCTGTTTATCACCATTGTACATCATAATAGCTGGATTATATAGTCAGGAACAAGATGTAAAGTAGAAATTCAGACATGAGATTGTACTCACAGCTGCCAAACTTGAGCGGGCAGGCGTGTGCATCCATGGGGAAATCCTCCAGCTGCATGGGGCATTCTGCTGATATGGTCAGTCTAATGCAAAACACACACATATAATGTACTCATTAACCATGTATAGTCTCACTTCAGCAGTCACCACCTTTTAACATTTGACTTAATGTATACAGAGCACTGTGCAATTACAGGGACAGCAGCAATTGCTGAATCACTAAAATTACAGGGCACCAAAACAAATCAAAGGCTGCAGCTTTACGAAGACGAAGAGATTTTCTCTCATAGCAGCAAAATGATTGCAGTTTCAAGTGCAGCAGCTCCCTCTCTCAGCAACAACACAGTGGCAATACTACCACCTGCTGGCCACACAGCTCATGTGTTATTTGTCTCTGTACAGGATTGGGAAACTTTTCTAAATGACCCTTTGAACAACCTCTCATGCCAGTCATTTTACTCAGATATACATAATCTCAGCTGTATCTCATTATGGACACCATTTAGATGGAGGACTTGAGGTGACGTTTATCTCCTGCTTCATTTAGATTTATTCAGTCCATCCAAAGCATGCCAATAGCTTTCCAAATCTAATTTTCTGCCAGTCATTCAAGACGTGGCGTTATCATTTAAGCCGCCGTGACGGTACCTCAGTGTCCTGAAAGAACCGCAATGATTAAGTGAATCAAGCACACACACACACACACATCATAATTGTTCTTTTTTTTGTTGCAATCTGTCCTAGATTGAATCAAGGCCCTTCTGGGTATTTTTGCTCATTGCATGATGATAAACAGTAATACAGTGATATGATGATGTGGATTCACTGAACTTAATGGGCTGGAGGAAGAAGAATTAAGTGGTGTGGAAACCAGAGCACAAAAACACGTTTACGACATTAAATGTTTCCTTAGCAATTGCTTTATTTTCTGCTTTCACCACTCAGGCATACTTCAACGTTTGCTACAGTATAAGATTATTTTTCCTTCAGTGAACTATATTATAATCTTAATGACAACTGTGTCACCAAGATGTGGTGGAATCCTCCTGGGTCATGTTTTTTTTACGCTCCAAAACCTCCCGCATGTATGTATCTACCGCAGGAGGTTTCCCCAATTATATCATTAAAGCTAGCGGTGCATAGCAAAATGGGATAAGAGGCCACCTCTGGTCCCCACAGAGTCGACTGTTTTGGGGCTCAGCTTGCATTCCACATCAGTGCAGGATTATCCAATTGCATTATTGTGTCTAAAACAGCTGAGGGATTGTGTGTGGACAAGAGGGGAGAGTGTCTTTGGGATAAATAAATGAGAACATGGCTGCTGGCGATCATACCATGTTCTAATTATTCATGTGGCCTTGCCCCATTGGCAGGGACGCCTGTAAAGATAGTGGCTTTTAATTTGGGGTTGTGATTAGAGCCTTTAATGACAGAATCTATGTGTCCCTTTGCATTTTTAATTTAAATATCAGGGGTGAAATAGCAGATTAGAATAAGACTCGTGAGTGTGTCCAGCCGGTGTGGAGTGAGCAGTAAATCACAAGGGGTAACACACCAGAAACAGACCAGCACACGCACCTTCACGCCCACGGGAAATCTAAAGTTTCCAATATGCCTGACCTTGCAGAAAAGTCGAAGAACTTGGACGTCGGGACGAAAGAGAAAGGGCTGAGTTTTGAGTCGGGCAGCTTTGTGCTGTATTAACCACTGAGCCACCATGCTGCACCATCTGTCTTTTCACACTAACAAGCACAGTTTTAACTTGTATCACATACAATCGCTCTCCTGGGAGCTGGGGTTATATAAGATATCAAAGGTGTGAAGAAAAACACAAAACTGAACTGTTAAAAGTGTCAAAATAAGGTTAAATACGGAGCTGTCATTATAAATCATACAAATTGTCAGTATGATTAGACAGAAGGCGAACATTGTGAGCATGAATGGCAGCTGCACCTAATGATAATGGTGTGTTGTGCGCTCGCTCCGTGGCAATATAGAGGCTTCAACCGGCTGTATACGATGCAGCCTATCTGGTATCCGGCTATAATGGGCCACCATCAAGCTCAGTGTGCATTAAGCTCGCAGAGGGTTGTGAACAGGGGTGTTTCATGAATTATCCACGGAGACAAATGCATAGAAATTTGCTCCATAAAACCCCGCCGCTCCTCCTCAGAGTAATGCTTTTCAAACGACACGAGAGAGGAGCTTTCATGGACACCCATACGTGATGCGGAAATGGTGTGTGTGGGAGAGGATTTAATGTTTGTAATGTGACATGACAGTATGTCTGTGCCTCTGCTTACAAGGGTTGATTGTACATGTTTTAATTGTATCTGTGCTGGAAGTGTGTGTGTGTGGATGAATCCTGTGGGGATGGGCACATGTGGTGCTTTAACTCCATATACTCTTTATTATGAATGCTAAGTGCTGTGAAAAAAAGTGTATGTGCTTACAGTACACATGAGTGTTTCTGTTTGCTTTGTGCAGATCTTAATTTAATTCAATTCAATTTAATTTAATGTAATTTAATTTCTAATTTATTTCTAATTTATCTTCTTCTTATTATTATTATTTTATTCTAATTTTTATTTTATTTTTAATTTAATTTATTTTATTTTTTGAACTTGAAAAATAAATAAATAAATAACAAATAAATAAATAAATTATTTCAATAATAATAATAATGATAATAATAAGAATGTAAAAATAGCAACAGCAGTTTTTTTGGCAAATAAATCGTTGCTGTACTTAAGAGTAAATATTATATGTAACTCCAGTTATGTTAGGAAATTAGATTTAAATTAGATTTTTGCTTAAAAAAAAAAAAATCAACTATTGCATTACTCTGATAAAACCCTTAAAAACAGAACAACATATAATGCAAACAGGCATATAGAGAAGCAAAAAAAGCTGTTGTTGAGTTTGCTGTAACCTGCAAGTGCCCAGATGGCCCGTGTGAATGTGTGTGTTTGTGTGTGTTTATGCGGGAAATAAAATCAGTGATGCCTGTGGTTAAGCTCCGCTGGTAATGACAAGCGCGGCACTGTAACAATTAGACGATTAAAAGCAACCTACTGCTGCTTCCTTTCAACTGGAATCTGATGCCATTTTTAGATTAGGGACTCTCTCTCATGCACACTCATGTGTACATGTTTGCATTCGGACACAGGCACAGATTTCCATAAAATGAACGTGCACACATACATGCGATCCCTCACTTGTTAAGCCCTGAGGTCAAAGTTGAGCGTCATTATAACTGATTAGTACAGACAACATGCTTGACACCCGCAGAGTGTGTTTATGTGTGCGTCAGACGCATGCGACAAGTCAGTGACTATAAATACGCCCATATTTAGATATGTATATATGTCAGGGTGGTTGCATATGGATAATCTGTCCTCCATCCAGCATGATTCTCCCTGTGGGTGGCACTGGTATCAGATAGAGTGCTCTCATCCGTGATACAGTCACTCTTAAGTCCTGCAGCTACAGTAACTCCTGAGGATAAGCACAGAATTATTCTAATTCTCTGGTGCAAAGGTCGCAGTGAGTCGCAGTGAGTATACAGACCGTATACCCTACGACAGTTTTATCACTCTAGTAATATTTTTGAACTGTCTTAGACCAAAGGACTAAAATATATGAATTTTGACAATGGGTGTAGTTCCCCTTTAAAGTTTTGAAGTTGTAAACACTGGTTGTTTAATTCATAGTGATCACCATCTGGTTGTCGGCCTGTTTCTTTCCTTTTTCCCCAATTTACCACGACACTGCTGCCAAAAACTGTAGTTCACAATGAGGCTGCTTTTCATAATGGATGATCTCCCCCTGAAGTTTTTTTTCCTCAAAACCAACATTTAAAGAGACACTTCCCTCTGGTGTTCATGTTTACCATATGATATTATATACATACTATATTGCATTTGATATTCTGTTATACTGCTGTACCATATTATGTTACATTATTTTACTAGATTATTACTATTACATTGCACCTTATCCCATACCGCAATCATATTTTTTTGTTATATTAATACAGACAACACTAAGTCTCATCACGTAAAGAAATACTTTGCTGATTTCCAACTAACTTTGTAGCATAACAATGGGGTACTTTGTATAACTAAAGTGTGGTAAACTTCCCTCCATTGGACCAGCGCCAGATCATCCAGCAAAAATCCATCTTAAACTACAGAATATACTTCCTGATTTTTGTACGTCAACTGCCACCACCAATGGAAAGAGTTTAGAAGTGACCGAACTCTGATCAAACTGTAAAACTACACAGCGCTGATCAAATAAACCAAGATTTTGTTACTGTTTTGTCTATTTCTCACCTATAATGTTTTTCAGAAACGTTTAGTGCACTGTTTAGCTGTAATATGAGAGTGTGTGAACAGGAAGTGGGCACCATACTGTTTCCTGTATTGTTAAACAGAGGCTGATTGAAAAGGTTTTTCAGGTTTTTAGTGCACTGTTTAGCTGTTAGTTTAGTGCACTGTTTAGCTGTGATATGAGAATTTGTGTACAGGAAGTGGCCACCATACTGTTTCCTGTATTGTTAAACAGAGGCTAATAAAACCAACCAACCAAGATTCTGTCACTACTTTACCTATCTCTCTTCTCAACTGTGTTTAGGAACAAATTTTAGTGTACTGTTTAACTTCAAAACAAGATTGTTTGTCACCATCTGGCCACCATACTGTATTTTTGTGTCAAAACGGGTGAGCTCTCATTACATAAAGCACCAGCAGGAGCATTATGGTTACTGTATTGCCTTTTCTCACCTATAATGTTTTCTAGAAACATTTTAGTGCACTGTATAGCTGTAATATAAGAGTTAGTGTACAGGAAGTGGCCACCATACTGTTTCCTGTATTTTTACACAGAGGCTGATACAACCAACCAACCAACCAACCAACCAAGAGTCCATCACTACGTTATCTATCTCTCTCCTAAAATGTGTTTATAAACATATTTTAGTGTACTGTTTAACTTCAATACAAGATTGTTTTATCACCATCTGGCCACCATATTGTATTTTTGTGTCAAAAAGGACAAGCTCACATTACATAATGCACCAGCAGGAGCATTATTGTTACTGTATTGCCTTTTCTCACCTAAAATGTTTTTCAGAAACGTTTTAGTGCACTGTTTAGCTGTAATATGAGAGTTAGTGAATAGGAAGTGGGCACCATACTTTTCCCTGTATTGTTAAACAGAAGCTGATACATCCAACCAACCAAGATTCTGTCACAACGTTACCTACCTCTCTCCTCAAATGTGTTTAGAAACATATTTTAGTGTACTGTTCAACTTCATTACAAGATTGTTTGTCACCATCTGGCCACCATATTGTATTTTTGTGTCAAAACAGACAAGCTCACGTTACATAATGGTCCAGCAGGGCCGTTTATTGTATATAGTTGTAAGTTTTCTACCTCTTGAGCAAAAGCTAATGCTACAGCCTTGATCTCTGTTAAGTATTTTTGTCTTTCTACTGTAAAGACAGCTCATATTATTCTGGTGTACGCTGTTAACCTAACACCAGACTCATGGCTGTTAATCATACAGTGTCACTTTACCCCCCAACTCTGTCTTTAATTGCGCTTGTAAAGTTAATATTTTTACTGCTGCTCCTATACTACTTGTTGTATTTATTCTTATTTTTTACTTCTATATTTATCCATATCTTATCATCTCATGTCATCATATTTCATACTGTCTCATAAAAGTCTCAATATGAGCTAAATTAAACTAAAAGAATTAGAAGAAATGCAAAATTTTACAGAAATATTTGCTATTTACTTCACTTTTACTGTAATACAGACTTTTCCAGGAGAGATCAAATGCCTGCGATTGGCCACTTGGTGACACTATTCTCCTGCAGTCTGAGAGAAACTACAGTGATAGAAGCCCTCTGTCTGTGTGTGACTCACAGTTCCAGCTGTATTGTGAATTATGTTGGCCTTGCTAGCTGTTTTTTCTTCGTTTCCATGTACTCTTAAAAACCCTCCCTTCGCTAACCTCCTATAAAAGCCGCAGCACACGTAAATGGGAGGTGTCCTCCATCTGATTTAAGGATTCTGAGACTCAATGCAGGCATAGAAACACTGTACTGCGAACCGCAGTAAAGTGCAGACAAGTGTACCTCTCTGTGGTGAGCAACATATTTTGAATTGATGAAATCTATAAATGCAATAAGTGCCACCAACCTTGGACTGGAAGAAGTTTATTATTACTCACAGTGTTTTTAAATGTAGAAGGCAAACATGTTCATATGGATACTTACCTCATAGTGTAGAGCAAAGTGCCGTCATCCTGCAGCCTCAGCAGCTTGTTGGGCGTGGTCATGTTATGAGCGATAGACTTCTTGCCGTTAAGGAAGAAGGTATCCGGGGTCCAGATGTTGCTGGCCAGCAGGTTGTTTAACGGCAGCATCTCCATGGGCCCTTTGAAGCACAGACGCTCGTCCTTCCAGCTCTGACGGAAGAAGACATCAATTGTGTATTCCTGTGACGAGAGCAAAAGAAAAGGTTGCGGAGAGTTCTGCTGGAAAAGGCGAGAACTATGAGAGAAAGTAGCGAGAGCCATGTAATGTGCTGCACTCTGCTCCCATGTTTACCAATCTCTCTGCTCTCTGATCATTTCATCCCAAACATGCTGAGGGGGTGCCGAAGGCAAAAGATCTTCCTCTGGATGGAGGGTTCACTGTGTCTGTTTCACTCTCAAGTTTCAGAGTGTTGTGTCTGGTGTGTATTTACCCTAAACTAGAATTTAAAGTTGCCTGTTGCCGCGTCATGTTCTTATATAGACTCATAAGATTTGGGTACTTTTACACCAAATCCTTCCTTAATTGTGGCATTTTCTTGTCACACTTCAGAGTTACAAATACATCCATTAAGACAGAAAAGCTAACTCTTTACACTCAATTGTCAATCAGCAGAAAACGCTTCAGCATTGTGCTTACTGTGACAGCAGCTCCTCCTTTATGACTTCATAAATCCACTAAGACTTTGCAGTTATGGTGATCAAACACTGCGGCGAAGAAATCCATCATAAATTTGCTCATGTGTGAAATATCGACCCACCCCGAGCTCAAAAAACAACACCAACAAACGAACAAGAAACAAATACTCCATCCCACAGAATAATGACACTGTTAGCAGGCTGACATATGAGCTTCTGTGGACCGCAAACCATTCAAGTCTCTTGCCACATTTCATTAATCAATCACGCGCCCTTGTCAATACCTTTTTTCAAGTCAATTATAGGGAAGTGGCAACTGCTGTGTCAAAGTGTGCCAGGGATATGGCAGGGTGTAATAGAGGATTTAATGAAAGAGGAGATTTAATGCATTTTGCTATCCAACTGGAACCATATAGTTCATAAGAGAATGGATTAATAAAGGGATGAATCAGTTGGAACAAGTTGGAATATACCGGCCACATTGCATTAAATCTTAAATGTTTAAGTCATCCACATTCATTCGGCCTCATTTACAAGAAACCATCTTCGAATGTCCTTCCAGGGGAACAGCGTGAGCAGTGATGTCAGTCTCATGAAATGTAAATACATGTTTTCCATCTATAAATACCTACTGGGTGGGCTTTGGAGACGTGTGTGTGTGTGTGTGTGTGTGTTTGTCGAGCTCAGCCAATCATTTTGTCCGCGTGTGTGCGGTGTTTGCTGCAGATGAACTCACCATCTCTGTGTCAGACACCGGGCCGAAGCTGGTGACGAATATATTCGTCTTGATCTCTGTGACGTTCTCTGTTGAGAGAGCGCAGGTGAGAGTGTGTGAGGGGTGGAGAGGTCACAAAAAAGCAATGAAAAGCATTGAAATTCAACTCACTTTGAAATGGACAAAAATATAAGATCCATATTGGCATAGGTGGAGATTTTTAGGGGGTACGCAGGGGACACAGCCCCTTCAGTATCCAGCACAATGCATTTTCCCCCCCATTAAAAGTAGCAGTGAACGTTGCACAACAAATTGAAGCAGCAAAGACACAAACTGGTGCAGAAAATTTCACCAGGATGCAGGAAAGTGAGTGTTTGATGCTCAAAGTTTAACGGAGGAGGAACCTCAAACCTCCTGTTTCAAGCTACACCCTTGATATTGGTCAGTGTCTTCCCCTAATATTTGAACCACAGCCACATAAAACATCTGTTAAAACTGGTGTAAAATCACATTTACTATATATTTACTGCATATATTCTGTATTTTGGAGTTTCATTTGTGGTCTACATGTCAGAAAATGGTGGAAAATGTCCGAGGTGATGCCTTGAAATCCTGATGTGTGTGACCAACAGCCCAAAACAGTGACAAAAAACCCCAAAAATCACATCAAAGTAGACAATTTTGACGTTTTTTTTTTTGCTTGAAAAATTACATAAACAATTATTCGATTATCAGAATAGTTGCTGATTTAGTTTCTGTCAAGCCACTAGTTGATTAGTAGCTGGAGCTCTGGTTTCAGAGGCATTTACACATTGATAAATATCAATTTCTAACAGAAAACTGGCTGCTTATGACTTTTAGAGCATGCCAGTAGTCTGAGCATTGAGCATTAACACCAGCATTTAAAAACCTGTGTCAGTTGAACGGCAGCGAAAGAATAACCCCCAAGTTTCTTTGATCACCACATGGGTTGGCTGGTGGGATTCATATCAGTATTCATATCAATCCAGACATTTCCATAACGTCTCTCACAATGCATTTCCTCTGAAGATGATGTAAAAAAAGGTAGCACATTATTTCATCTTCGTTTGTATCAGTAAAACCAACAAAATCTCTGCCATGCATATAAATCTCATGGTGAGCCTGGTTTGGGCACACTGGTGGAGAGCAGCTTGTTGAATGCTGAACGAAGGCCTGGATGTTTTTCTGGTATGTATTTATAGGCCCTCTTGTCAAGGGTAGCAACCGTTACCAGGATGTGAGAGCAGGCTTGTGCCATGACACATCACGCGTTCGGCATGAAAAAGCCGGGTTTCTTCCCATTATGGGACGAGTGCTGTATGTACATGGGAAACAAACTGAAGTGAGGACCGGTGTCACAAGGACGGATTTAAGAGCTGGTGGGGAAATCAGTGGAATAAATGCAGTAAGTGCCACGCCATTAGAGAACGGGGAGGTAGGGGTGGTGAACATGAAAAGCTTTTATTTCAGCGGGGCCTTCGAAAAGAAAAAAAAAGAAATCTCCATCTTTGAATGGCAATTTGTGGGCTCTCAAGGTTATCGCCTGTTGCCAGGGTGAAGAGCGTGAATGAAACACCACAGCACACTGAATTCAGACAGCCTGATTGATTCACTCTCCTTACCATGGCGGTGTACAAGGAAAGCGTTTATAATCCTCGCCACAGCATCTGACATGTGTGTGCCTTCACCTGAGCCGACAAGGGGGCAAAATTCCATGTGCGCTCACACAGTTTCTACCCATGTTATCTGCCAGTCTCACAGCAGTTTCCCATGAATCAGTGCATGTAATTGCATCAGGAAATGGGGTCTCCCATGGTAGAGTCCAGGTTAACAGGTTAGGTTATCACATCAGCATCATGATGTTACAATGTAAGTGGTGCTTTCAAATAAAAGGCGCTAAAATGAGAAATAAGATCCCCAGCAAACCTCCAAGCCCTGGCCGCAGCCTGTTGTCATAACCCTCAAGGAGCCCGTCCAGGATCTGGGTGAAAACCGTGCTGTTGTCGTTGGTGACTGCCTCCTTCTGAGCCTCTGAGGAGGACAGGCAGACGCTGGGAGAGGAGAGGAGACAAGGGAACACGAGTAAAGACACTCACAATATCCTGGCGCTGGTTAAACTCCAGGACGTCAAACATGACATGGTTATTGTGATTAATTAGCTTGCCGCATTAAGGACAGGCTTGTTGTGATTAATTATTGAACATAAGCACTGCTTACAACTACCAGTAGAGATAATTAAGGCTTTGACATGTGATCCAAATATAAACAAATGAGTTCCCCTGCTAAATAAGGCAAGAAGCGAGGCATTATGTCTGGAGGATGAGCACATCCTCTGTGGCAAGAAAATGAGGGAAATTACTTCTTTTTCCTTTGTGCAAAGGACACTGTGTTCACGCACAGGAGGGTTACGAACATGTGATTTAAAAGCCATTGATCTACTCAGATGAGAGTGGACTATTCCAGTGATTTACTGACAGCATCGCCGAAGATCTTTTTCGCTTTCCTGGAGTGCAGGATGGCCACTTAAGCGGTGATGTAGCAGAGTGCAGATCGGATGTGCGATTAAGAGAGGAGGGCAGAGCTGGCAGGGATCCTCAGCAAATACAAATATATGGGAATATACACGGGAGACATTTACAGAACAGCACATGGAGTGAACAGAATTTACGCCAAATGGCAACTTTACATAGCTTTTATTCGCATTCCTCTTTAAAGCTTCACATTTTGTAACAATCACTGTTTCAGCTACATCATGTTTACCTATTTTGCCATCCACACAGGAGCAGGAGGGAAAGCACAAGCCTTGCCATGACTGAAACTGTGCCCATTTTGTCGTTCAGAGCTGTAACACACATCCACAGACACAAAACACAACACATTTGCATCAGAAAAAGCACCAAATATCATAACAGTGTTTCACTCTCCTCGAAACATGATCAGCTAAAAGGTCTGGCAATCCCAACTCACACAAAGAAACTCTTCACCCCGGCTGCATACAGAGGCAGACCATTACAGGAATCAGTAAATCAAGTGGTGGGACAATCTGCTCAATGAGGCTGCAACTCTTTAACATCCACCTCACAGTGCTCACTGATACTGTACATGCTGGGATGTGATAAGGAAAACATATAATAGGTGTATTGTTTCTGCAGTGTTATCCCCATTGTGTAAAGCTACCACTGCGTTTGAATCCAGCGCATTACAATTCACACGGGCCACCCCACCCCCCCCCGCCCCTCCACCATCACCTTTTCCCCCACTCTCCATCACCAAAAACATGCATCTCCATCCTATTCCTATGTGCCATGCTGTGTCTAATTATAAAAAGCCAGAGGGGAGAAAAGGGGGTGCTACCTGAATGCAGATCCATCCCCACCATGGTGTATGTTTTGGGGCTGCTCTTCCCCAAGCAGCGATTGGAGGCTGGGGGTCTCCGTCGGCGGTGTTGAGACTGGGTTCAATCACCTAATCCCCGTCGGTTCTTCTCCTCAGCTTCTCCACCATGCGCTGTTTCTCTCTCTCTCTCTCCTCTCTGTGTCTGCTCTCTCTCTCTCTCTCTCTCTGTCAGCGTTTCCCCATCAGGCGGTGTTGTAGTAGTCTGTCTGGTATCCTCCTCCTATAGGCTACACCGCCTTCCTTCTTTAGTGCCTGCTGCACCGCATCTCCTGCATCGCCTCCAGAGGTGTTGCAGCAGCAGCAGCAGCAGCGGGGCAGGGGCAGCATCACACGGGCAGCCCGCTCGCTCTCATCCGCCAGCCTCGGAGCAGACTGGATTCACTCCACATTTTTATCCGTCTCTTTCGCTATACCGCCTACTGCCGGTGCGAGAGAATGGAGTGCTGCAACAGAGGCTAATCATTTTGATAATAGGTGCTGCCCATTGGCGGGTCGGGAGGAGGAGGCGCGCTGGCTGTGGAGCTGAGGGTGGGGAGGTGGGGAGTCAGATGTTAACAAAATCAGGTGCGGGTTTTCAAACCCTGTCCCGCAATTGACGCTTTGTCAGTCAGTAAGGCAATTAAAGAAGCATTAAGCCACCAATTCTCATTTACATGTTTTGTCATCCCTGACAGATACAACTCATGCACCCCTTCTTCACCTCCTGTCATGGTCCAAATGGGTTTAAAATGGATGTTATCTAGCACCAATATATCAAGATACAGTAGCTATATTGTTTTCACAAACTAATGAGTAGCCTAGGTCGAACATTTTAGCCTCTTATCCATGAGGTTTAGCCTAATTACATTACAACTATCACCATGACTTTTAGCGTTTTCACAGGTGTAATAATTTTAGCATTGCAACTTTAACAATGTATCCAATACGTGTAGTTAGCTTTTTCAACTATAGTTAGACGACTTGATACTGTTTTCACAAACTATTTCAACAGTTAGGCTACCCATTAGTTAGCTATCCATTTCAACCATTTATCAATTGCTGCCACCTGTTTCATTTCCTTATCCATGAATTAGCTTAGCTCTGCTAGTCATTTATCAATTACTTCCGGCATGCTAACTATTTAAACTAGTTTCATTAGCTAGCTAACTAGCCTACTTAAACTGTTTGTTCATCACTTCTACCTAACAAAACTTTTTTTGCTAGTATTAGCTAACTATTTATTCAAATTTATTCATGACTAGCCTACTTTTAGCTAACTACTTTCAACAGTTTATCAATTATTTGTTGCTAACTAAAATTAGGCTACTTTTAGCTCAACTGTTGATTCATTANTTTAGTGCCTGCTGCACCGCATCTCCTGCATCGCCTCCAGAGGTGTTGCAGCAGCAGCAGCAGCAGCGGGGCAGGGGCAGCATCACACGGGCAGCCCGCTCGCTCTCATCCGCCAGCCTCGGAGCAGACTGGATTCACTCCACATTTTTATCCGTCTCTTTCGCTATACCGCCTACTGCCGGTGCGAGAGAATGGAGTGCTGCAACAGAGGCTAATCATTTTGATAATAGGTGCTGCCCATTGGCGGGTCGGGAGGAGGAGGCGCGCTGGCTGTGGAGCTGAGGGTGGGGAGGTGGGGAGTCAGATGTTAACAAAATCAGGTGCGGGTTTTCAAACCCTGTCCCGCAATTGACGCTTTGTCAGTCAGTAAGGCAATTAAAGAAGCATTAAGCCACCAATTCTCATTTACATGTTTTGTCATCCCTGACAGATACAACTCATGCACCCCTTCTTCACCTCCTGTCATGGTCCAAATGGGTTTAAAATGGATGTTATCTAGCACCAATATATCAAGATACAGTAGCTATATTGTTTTCACAAACTAATGAGTAGCCTAGGTCGAACATTTTAGCCTCTTATCCATGAGGTTTAGCCTAATTACATTACAACTATCACCATGACTTTTAGCGTTTTCACAGGTGTAATAATTTTAGCATTGCAACTTTAACAATGTATCCAATACGTGTAGTTAGCTTTTTCAACTATAGTTAGACGACTTGATACTGTTTTCACAAACTATTTCAACAGTTAGGCTACCCATTAGTTAGCTATCCATTTCAACCATTTATCAATTGCTGCCACCTGTTTCATTTCCTTATCCATGAATTAGCTTAGCTCTGCTAGTCATTTATCAATTACTTCCGGCATGCTAACTATTTAAACTAGTTTCATTAGCTAGCTAACTAGCCTACTTAAACTGTTTGTTCATCACTTCTACCTAACAAAACTTTTTTTGCTAGTATTAGCTAACTATTTATTCAAATTTATTCATGACTAGCCTACTTTTAGCTAACTACTTTCAACAGTTTATCAATTATTTGTTGCTAACTAAAATTAGGCTACTTTTAGCTCAACTGTTGATTCATTACTTTTAGCAAACTATTTCAACTGTTGTCCATTAGTTTAGCTATCCATTTAAATCATTTGTCAACTGCTGCTAGCTGTTTCATTTCTTTGTCCATTAGCTCTGTTAGCCATTTATCAAAATGTTTTAACGTGCTAGCTATTTAAACTCTTTTCATTACTCATAGCTAACTACTTAAACTGTTTATTCATTACTTTAAGCTAACTATTTAAATGGTGTATTTGTTAATTTAGTCTGACATGCCAAGTCTTAGCTAACAATTCTGTTTTTGCTAGTTTAAGTTAACTATTTACACAGTTTATTCATTACAAGCCTACTTTTAGCTAACTACTTTAAATAATTTATCTATTACGTGTGGCTAACTAACTATTTAAACTGTTGATTCATTACTTCTAGCAAACTATTTCAACTGTTATCCATTAGTTTAGCTATCCATTTCAACCATTTATCAACTGCTGCTAGCCGTTTCATTTCTTTATCCATTAATTAGCTTTGCTATGCTAGCCATTTATCAATTAGTTTTAGCATGCTTAGCCATTACTTTTAGCCAGCTATCTAAATTTTTTCAGCACTTGTAGCTAACTATTTAAACTGTTTTTTCATTACTTTAACTATTTAAATGATGTATTTGTTCATTTTAGGTAACAGTGTAAGCCATTTACAAATTGTAGCTAACAATTCAAACTGTTTATTCATTAGTTTTAGCTAACTAAACTGTTTTGTTTTGTTTTTTGCTAATTTTAGCTAACTATTCACACAAATTATTCATTACTAGCCCACCTTTAGCTAAGATATTTAAACAGTTTATCTAGGCTATAGCTAACTAAACTTTTTCCCATCACTTTGAGCAATTTAAATGGTGGATTCATTAGCCTACCTCTAGCAAACTATTTACACAGTTTTTACTTTCAGCAGCCATATCAAACATGACTAGCAGCCTATACTTTTATCCGACTTTTCTGCTGGCTTGTTAGCTAGCTTCATGTAGCCTACTCTTTATGTGCTCTAGCTAATTAGCTGAGCTACTTTTCAGATTTACTACCACACACCAAGCTGCCAACTACAAGTATCCCCAATGGTACAAGCACCCCTGGATGAGAATTACTGGCACAAAATGTGAGAGTTGATAGATTGTCACAGGAAAAATGAGAGATAAGATTTAAAAAAAAAAAAAAAAAAAAAAAAAGCAGCAGTGGTTGTTTTGACGGAGTCCGTGAGGTGTCACGGAGGAAGAAAACAATTAGTCTATGTGCTGACTGAGTGTGAAGCTTAGTCAACTCACTATTTGCTTTTTATCTTTTTTCCTTTGTCATGAATTTGCATACTGTAGGCACCGTCAAAAAAACACAAGCGCTCCCATATAAATCCTCCTCAATAAAGTCTCAGACCGAAGCACTTATCATCCTGACGGTTGCCATAAGAGGGTAGCCGAGTTCCATGTTTCGTAGATGATAATTAGTGTCTCATATTTAACCTCCCTCCACTCTCCTTAATCCGTCTGGAGGTGCAGTGTGTGGATGAGAGAGAGCTGCGGCCGAGACATCTAAGAAACATCAATGTGTCCCCTCAGGAGGCTGATTTCAGCATCACGGACAGCTCCTGCACTGTGATGATGACCGGCTGGACACGTGTGTGAGGGGAAGGGGGGAGAAATACACGCGCGCGCGCGTGTGTGTGTGCAGATGAGAAAGTGGGGGTGAGGGGCTCTCCCAGAGGAAATCGACTGCCTTTCAATATTTGCCCTGCAGGCATCCCACTGTTTTATATTCCTGCTTTACTGCAGGCTACAACCTTAGTATAAGCAGGAGAGCACAGATCAATCAACACACACTACATACCAGGGAGGGTTAAACCAACACACACACACACACACACACACACACACACACACACACACACACACACACCTTTTAAGGTTATAAACTTACGAACCATAAATAAAAAAGTCATTATAAAGGATATCTTAAAGGAAAACTCCCTATTTGTTAACATTAATGGCTGTGATAGAAACCATTAACGCATATTAATGTTTTAATTGGCTACAAGCTCCTTTATCATTAATGATGTCATCACCCTTTCTTCCAGGAACGCTGTTGACGGAAACAAGAAGTTGTTCGCCATCTATGACACGAGGTAGGAAATGTCACAACAACACACACATGATTAATTAATGAGCTTCTCCGACTGCGTGTGTGTGTGTCGCGCGCGCGCACACGCACGCGGTCCTAATTATCCACGGAATGTCTGGCGACTCCAATATTCCTCAACCTAAATAATGTACGGTGCCACAGAGCCCAGCGTTTCAGATAAGGAAAAGAGACCCTTATAGGTAATTAACAGGCTAATCAATCACGGGCATCGATTAATAGGCTGATAAATGCAGCCTGTCCCTCCTCGATATTGTTCGGGTCCCGCCATTTTTATAGGAAACACAGGGGAAGGGGATTGGCGCAGATGGAGTGAGGAGCACTGTAAAAAATGTCCATCTTAACAAGGCAGTTGGTGTGATACTGGGGTTCATTTTACTGAGGAAAAATCAATTGAATAAACTCTATTGTTTTTTTTGTTTTGTTTTGTTTTTTACAGTAAAAGTAATTTTCTAGCCTAAAAACCAATAAGCAAAGTTGAAGAGATCAATTTATTTTAATAGATAAAAAATTGAATATAATCTTGAAAAATGATTTATATCCCACATAGATGCAAAATGATCTCACCTATGAAAAAAAAAATATTGGCAGAGCACTATGGTGGTTTTACACATATAATAGTCATGGGGAATACGGCTCTGCCCATGAAAAAAATTGTATAGTGTTCTCTTTGGCTTTTAAAGTCTCCATTTATGTCATCACAAAAACCCCAGTGATGTCATTGGGGTTGTCTCAAATTGGGCTTGAGACTTCAAATTTGTCTGGGCTGCCTAAAAAAATTAAGTTTGAAATCTGGGGGTAGTAATATTTTGCAAATTTAATTTAAGAAGACAAGTTGAGGTGATTTTGTAGTGATTCAACTTGTCTTTTCAAATTCAGTCGACAGTGGCAGCACGGACACTAACCTAAGTTCGAACAAGTACTTTATTTTGACAGTGTAGCACTTAAAAAACAAACAAACAAACAAAGAAAAACATAGGACTCACATTTTTAACTAAAAAAAATTGTTTCAAAGTTGCTGAGCTGCATTATGGGAATTGTAGGACCCAGTGTTTTTGAAGTTTGAGGCATACTGTAGAGTCTAAAAGTCAACATATCTTGACCTCTGATGGTTTAATTTTGGCCATTCCTTGTTAAAATCTGTCT